GATCTGTGCATAAATAAGTGTTCGGGCGTCGCGGTCAGTATTTTGGTCACGGCGGAGAGGGGTTACAGGAAATAATACGAACATGGATATAATCGCCGTCGATTGCCAGCGTGCGCTCTTGTCGAGCGACGAGCATAGGCATCTTGCGGTATATAGTATATTTCTGTAAAGGCACACACAGGTTAGACAATCGGAAGTTTTGCATAGAAGTATATCAGTACCTTGTACGCTGATGTATAATCCAGGACCGAAGACGATTGCTGTTCCGGCGTATCTGACATCCGTTTGAAAATAGAGGCTGAAGAAAGGTTAACAAAGGAAGTTCATCAATCCACGCCCAAGTCTCCACTAAGATCAGGGTGGGCGGTACATACCATTGGGATCCGTCGTCTTCCCGATGCCTTTCGGCATAACGACGTCCATCTGCGGGAGCATGTTGCGTTTCACGAGCAGGAGCTCCCGCTTCCCTTCCAGGCTCGCCACCGTGCGGTCGAGCGGGAGGATGATGCTCTGGTCTGCGAGCAGCAGCGCATACTCATTGGGATTCGGCAGCTTTCGGCGCCGACATACCAGCTCGAGCGCTTCTTGCATGTACATCCCGGCAGATCTGGAATATGATATCAGATGTGTGCTTTGGTTTTTGGAATGAGAAACGCAGAAGTACATACACGGGTATGGTTGTGGATATGTGCACAGCATCTGCTGTGTGAATCCGCAGGAATATCTGGGGCCCGTGGCTTGATGAAGGTCCCAATGATGTCGATAGGCCACCGGTAACAAAGTTCGACCCGTATATCGCACCCGTTGGAGCTGTGGCGGAGAGAGCTGGATGTGGGAGGTTGAGCTTGTCGACTGATTTCTTTGCGATCGTCCGCGAAGGCCGCCGTTGGATTTTGCCTTCCAAAATCTGATTTTGTTGAACTGTACCACGTATTAGGTTTGAGATTAATGAGAATGATAGAGTACCAACAGACGTACTTTGTGTAGGTGTCGCTTCCAGGATGGCATATGCCTCTGAGAACTTGGTAACTTTCTCCATCCGATCAGGTGCTATTAAGAAAATGTTATAACAATTCCGAGATAGAACAGCGAAAGCAAACGTACGAGGGAAATCATCATCCACTTCTCCATCGTCTTCTGCAATTCTCAGAATCCACCCCACCGCTGAAAGCCTCGTTGCCCGCTTCGGATCATCTTCCCCAGCAAGGCCCTCATCAAGTTTGGGCAACCAGCCCTTCTCCCAATAGCTCCACAGCGCAAACCCTATGACCTCCTCCACAGTAGCGTCGCGCCTTACATTGAGGTCCATCGCCTTCCCGTGCGGCTGCCTCGCGTGCGGGAAGTATATCTGCACATTCGTCGCCGCGGACTCGCCGCGCCCGGAGATGGTCGCGTACATCTCCGCGAAGGGGTTCGACGAGCTGCCCGACGACGCGAGCAGCGCGGAGAGGCTCGACGTGAGCGGCCGGAGCGGCGGCACCTTCCGGCGCACGAACAGCTTCTCCGGGGACGGCGGCGGCTGCGTGAGCGACGGCGAGTGCGCGTGCGTGCTGGTCGTGGAGGTGCTGCTGTCGCCCCTGCTGCGCGCGGGGGCGTCGGGGCGCTTGCGCGCTCCGTCGTCCGGTTTGGGTGCGCGGGGTGCGCGGTTGGTGTGCTCTGAGACCGGGCTCAGGCGGGGGCGGGCCCGGTTGAGTGTTTGCGAAGACGAGACTGCTATTGAGGAAGTCGCGGTCCCTGCAGAGAAAATTGACATCGCGTCCGATGCACTGTCTGATGTTGCTCCAGTTCGTGTTGCAGCGAATACACTGGGAAGAGGCTTTAATGTTGATTGCACAGATAGATAAAATATGAATACATACGGATCAAATTCGTCTCCTTCATCCATGCTGTCCACGACCACCACAGAGTCATCTGGGGACGGCTCATGGACAGGGCCCTCATCCTCTGAAGACGAAAAATCGAGTTTAGGTGGTGGTTGTGCAACAGGCGCACCGGGGCGACGGCGGGCTTCCATGCGGACTCTCCGCCTCGCCTCCATCTCCGCGGCACCCTTGAATTTCGGAATAAACTGCACGACCCTGGCCACCGGATTCTCCTCTGGAGCCGTCGCTTGCTGCACCTCAACGGTCGGCTCTGGCGAGCTCGAACTCGAGCCCTTCGCGCCGGTCTTCACCCAGCTCTCGTTCCCCGGGGCAGACTGCGCAAGCACTTTCTCGGCGGGGCCCGTCTCCTGCTGCACGGGCGCGTTATCGGACACGAAGTTCTTCATGTCGAGCTGGCGCGAGGACACGGACATGCGTTTCGAGGTGGACGCCCTTTTTCCGTGCACGCGGAGGCCGAGGCCGCCTGTGCGTCCGCCCATGATCGTCTGCGTGTGCTTGAGCCTCGCGCCCGGGAAGCCAAGGGGGCGATCTTGCTCGTCCTCGCTTAGATTTGGGCTGGAGGGCATCGCGAGCTGCGGCCACCGGTCGACGTCGGTCATGGAGGCAGAGAGGATGTATGGGTTGGACTGATAGGAGGGGTCCAACGAGATAATCCTGGGACCATAGGGATCGTCGACATCTCGCAAATAGGACAGGCGAAGACTGTGAATGAGAAAACTATGGAAGATGATGGTAAGCCCGCATTGAACGGTGTGCAGCTGGGTTGAGACGCTCACTCCGTGTCGCTAATAAGAGACATGTTGCATGTCGAAAGGCAGCTGCTGGAGACTGAGTTGACTGATCGTCGTCGCCGTGTAGACCAAAGGCTGAATGACGTTGTCGGGTGGGAACTAATTTCTTGATTTAGAGATATCTCCGTCGTTTTCTATTCAAACGCCCTTCGACGGTAACAACTGCATCCACAGCAAAGAAGCTCATGCAGTGCCCGTCGGGCTGGGCGGCAACCCACCGGAATTGCATTGAAGTGAGAACCAAATGGTGATCTTCGCTCTGCACACAATATACTATTCCTAGGACACGCTAGCCTGCGACTACTTGGCTCAATCTTGTCTCATGGGAACACCATCTCTGCTCACTATATACACGCAGCTGCGCAGATAAACTACATAGAGTCGTGGAAACTGGTTTCCCCACTGCTCCTCTCCCATTCCCCAACTCTTACCACTGGCACAGAATGAGCACGCTATCTGGACAGATTCGAGCAGACGCTCGCCTCTCGGTGGTCATCATAGGAGGCGGAATAGCAGGAGCAGCAGGCGAGCAGCCTTCATCTGACAGCGTCGTTCTCACAGTGGATCTGACTGACATCTACTTGGCTGCAGTCGTTCGTGGGCTTGCTTCGAAGCTCGACAAAACCAAGCATCGGCTGGTCCTCATCACCTCAAGACCTTGTCATATATACCTGCCTGGCACGCTGCGACTCTTAGCGAGCCCAGATGCGCCTCTCAGCTCCGTCTTTATGTCTTACAACAAAATATTCGGTAACTTTCCTGGAGAGATCAAGATCGGCACGGTCTCTTCCATCGAGGAGAACAAGGACCCTCTCGTCTCGCGCGGCGGCTTCGTCGTCCTTGAAGGCGGGCAAACAGTGACTTACGATGCCCTGGTTATCGCTACTGGATCCACCTGGGTCGGCCATCTTGCATTCCCAAACGAAGAAACCGCCTTGAGGGAACATGTATCAAGCTGGCGTGAGAAAATTCGAGATGCTCAACGAATTGTAATCGCAGGAGGTGGAGCGGTGGGCATAGGTAAGCATTTGAGGCGCCTTTTGAGAAATCAATAGCTGAGCTCGGAGGTTTTAGAAGTATCCGGGGAGATCAAGGATTCTTACCCTGTGAGCAATGTCACTCTTGCTTTTTCATTCCTCGGCGCCTAATTCACACGGGCTTGATCCTGAAGTCTAAAGACATCACCATCGTTCAGGCCAATCGTTTATTACTCGGGGATATGTACCCAAATATATTTAGAGTTGATGTTGAAAGCCGTGTGCGTCGGCGGGGCGTGAACATTCTCTTCAGCGACACCATCGAAGGCACTCCAAACCCCCAGGGATCCGTACAAACAAGCAGCGGGATGTCCCTCCCATGCGACTTACTCGTAAGATCTCTGCTCTACCAACCATTTCCAATCCCTTCATTATTCCTGCATCAGATCTACGCCCGCGGCGGACGTCCGAACACCTCCCTGCTCAAGTTCCTCCGCCCCTCTGTGCTGACCGACCGCGGCTACGTGAAAGTGACCCCGACGCTGCAGGTCGAGGGCCACCACAACATCTTCGCGCTCGGGGACGTCATCGACTGGCCGGAGGCCAAGCAGCTCACCAAGATCTCGATGGGCCACGCGCCGGTGGTCATCAGCAACGTGATGAGCTACCTCGACGGCCGCCTTCCCAAACGGGCGTACAAGAACTGTCCCGAGATATTGGCTATCAGCATCGGGCGGGTATGCGAGCTTTTATTGATTGTTTTTTGAGGGAAAAGTTGTGGCTGATTGGGGTTGTTTTAGGGAGGGGGCGCATCGTATCTCGGATACCTTTGGGGCCTCACGTTCGGCGGGCACTTTACGCGCTATGTCAAGTCCGTCGACTTGATGGTCGGGCTCGCCCGCAAGAGCATTGGGCTGCCGGCGCAATGCGAGAAGGAGGAATCAACGCCTCTTGATTACGCTCACGTGTAGCACTGTCTTCTCTCCTTTGGCTGAATTGATTGAACCTAGCGGTATACTCTGCATTCCTCTCCTCTTTTTTCTTTCTTTTTCCTTCTTCTTGCTTTCGTCTTTTCCGATATTCCACGGTGGTGAAAATGGACACTAGACATGTATTGTTTTATTTTATCCACCGAGCGGTGTATCTTGGTTATCATTAGTGTAGTATCAATGTATTCATTAGTTGTTTAGGACCCTTCTACGCCTCGTTATACTTAGATGTGAATACGAACCTTCCGTCAAATCCTCAGCAAGCGCCCAGAAATCTTCCAAGGGCCTATCTTCGTGTGCGTTTTGGACGGAAATCAGAGGAATCGTAACCGGTGAGCGCCTTGGAAAGGGAGCCTCACAGGGCACATAGTGTAGTTGGTTATCGCGCTTGCTTCGCATTAAATGGTGTGATTGCGAGAGGTGTTGGGTTCAATTCCCAATGTGTCCATCCTTTTTGCTTTTCCCTCTGTGGTACAATTACAAAATTTACAATCAGATGTCATGTATACAATCATAATAATCATTACAATGCAATGTACATAGTACTCTAGACTAGTAACGGTACTATGTAGACGGACGCAATTGCCAACCTGAGTTTCGCCTCCACACAAGCGCCCATTGATCGCCACGGGCGCTTAAAGAGACGCTCATCCGTCTAGACTCTATAACTAGAAACTATTGCACTGCATTTGCCAATTGTGTATGTCCAAATGTACGTTCAAGGGGCACATGGTGTAGTTGGTTATCACGCTCGCTTAGCATACACCTAGAATTTGTCCAGAGTACATGATATGCGAGAGGTGTTGGGTTCAATTCCCAATGCGTCCACAGTTTTTGCTCCTCTCTTTTCTGATTGTGAACTTTGAAGGAATTGAATATCATGATTCATATAATGTATTATGTTACTGTATAAAATTCATATTTATTTTCTGTATGGTACGTCGATACCTGCAGACGGCTTGCAAGGTGCTGGCCTTCATGAATTGAGTCTAGGTGTCGAATAGATCTTGGGCGATCGTTATCGTAGCTCCCTTGGTCGACGGTCGGTATGCTGGGTAGTAGGTACTTTGAGATGTCTTTAAGTTTTCCGGTGTCTTGGATTTCCGGAATCGTGATTGCTTTTTGTATCTCCACCATATTCAAATTGCAAAAACAAATTCAAGTTACTGTTTATTCCATTGGTACACCATATAATACATTCGGAAAATGAAAGACGAATAGACCTTGATTCTTCGATTTCGCACTCTGGCCATGCCCTCGTTCAGCAATCGCTGCAACACGCACTGGCAGGCGAAGGAGTCCTGGAACCTTGCACATTGGTGGATTCCTTCGAATGTGGGCTTTCCGTTTCCGCAGCGCAGTCGTTTGAACAACATTTATCGATCTTGGGTTTTGCAGAGGGACCAACATTGCTTGCACACGTGCCAGCCTGGATAGAACCAAATAATGTGGTTAGCAGGCGAAGAACGGTGATAACGCAGAAATGCACTAACAGGTTTAGGTCGAGTCCCTTTGACGAGCTCATGTGTACAGCATTTGGACCCATCGGTACTAGGAGACGAGCAGCAGGTAGTCGCGATAGCCTCCAAATGGTGAAATCAGCCACGCGCTGCCGAAAGAAGTAAAAGTAAACCTACTTCTTCGCCTGCGCTCGTAGGACTGCATTTGCATTCCCCCGCCTCTTTACACTCACTCTTCTCAGCACAGCATTCACATAAATCCCGATAACACTCGCCCAGTTCCTCTGCGGCACCGACGTCGCGACACTCCTTGCAGCATCCGCCATCGAAGTTCGGGTCTCTGACCCACTTGATGATCTTGTATCCCTCCCAGAAGAACAGAAACCCTAAAATAATTGAGGTCGCGCTGTCGACCCACCATCCTCCGGACCACAGCCTGAAAACCAGGGATCCGATGAAGAGAACGATGGTAATCTGAATGCAAGATAAAGAGCAAGTCGCTTCGCCTGCCATCACGCTGCTGTCCAGTGCACGGGCGAGGTAGCGTTTGGGCAGCCATATGCCTATCATCAGGACGAGGGCGGAGGCAGAGACGATGAGGGAGGCATTGGACGAGTCTGGGTGTTGGTGAGATGACAGAGAGACGATAGCAGATATCTCAGTTCCAAGAGAAAGAGCAACGAGCAGCGCGCCGATGGTAGCCGAGGCATATTTTTCGATTCTGAATAATTTATATATTAGTTGAGTTTGCAAGACGGCAATAATTGTGTCGAAAAGTGACATGCCTTAGCTCCTTGGCGCCTAAATTCACAGCCCTCTCCTCGCCTGGTAGGGCGACTTTCTTGAACCTCCATAGCACAATGGCAGCGGATATGACCTCTATGGCCGACTGTACGCCAAAAAATACAAGCGAACGAGACGACGATTCGCTGCCCAATCCAACAGAAACTGCACCCTCTGCGGTATTGTAGAGAATACTGAGAATACTGATTCCTATCGCATATTGCTGCAGACGGCGATAAGAGGGTGCCATGACGGTTGTGCACAAGTGTGCGATTGCGGCGTCGAAGGGAAGAAGTCCATCCTTCGACTTCTCATGCTGTGGTTGGCTGGATAGGAGGATCTTGGGAGGATCGGCCGCACACCAACCGCGTCGGAGATATAGCGGAGTGCAGTCGGGGAACGAAGATGTGAACCTTATTCAACGGGGCACATGGTGTAGTTGGTTATCACGCTCGCTTAGCATTCAATATTCATGGTTTGCGAGAGGTGTTGGGTTCAATTCCCAATGCGTCCATCTTTTTACGCTCTTCAACGAATGTCAGATGAAGGAACGTTTTCTGGAATTCAATTTTTAACTTTAAAGTTTAAAGTTTAAACTGTTGATTTGAATCACGGTAACAATTTACACAGTGTTAATCAGTACTGTCTATGAATCGATGTGTATACTTTCGTAAGGGCACATGGTGTAGTTGGTTATCACGCTCGCTTAGCATTTAACATGGTTTGCGAGAGGTGTTGGGTTCAATTCCCAATGCGTCCATTTTTTGCTTTTCCACCGTTACTAAGGCTCCAACCGTACACTATATGTATACGGCCGACGGCGTATATATACAGATATGGTTGTATACCATATACATACCGTATATATACGGATATATGGTTTTTCTATAGGGTTATAGGATTTAATAAATCAAATACACATAAATCAAGTTCTCTGTGCTTTGTTTTGTGCTTCAGAGGCTGGTTAACACAAGGTTAACATCAAATAAGTAGACCTTGTTTTAGCCTTAAGATACACGCGCAAGTTGGAGAATTCTACTATTTTTGTTGCTGATGCTACTGCTGAGTCTACACGATGTAACGGGACACCGCGGATGAACGGCGCAAGTCAGCCAGAGTTCTCGCATGGCGTGCCAGGGACGTACGCGGCGGAAGACAGCGGGCGCGATACGGCATGCAGCCACGTATACAGTACGTCTGCACGCGTTGCGGCGGTGTGCAGGAAACGCTGACGACGGCGGCGCGGGTAGCATGCACGAATGCGCCGCTTGCCACCCTGGACGCCTGCGCCGACCAATTTCCGCTCTGCTCAACGCATCGCCAGCCGACAAGCCCGCCCCGGAGGTGCACACAGACAGACGAGGAAGACGGCAGCGCAGATGCCGGCAGCGCCTCGCGGACACCTCACCCATGTGCGGCGCGTTCATGCTCGCGTTCGTGGTCGCGCCATCCTCTCCAACCCGCCCGCACTCAGCGTCTACACATACAATCAGTGTTGCATATGCAACGCTGTGCGGCGTGGAGACGCGTCGTGCCAGGCATTGCCATACCCGCAAAACCCACCAGGCGGGTATGGGTTCGGCGAGGTCGGCAAGGATGGGCATGCGCATGGAGACTCGAGAGCATAGTGGCGGAGGAGAGCAGGGGGGCTCAGAAATATATTCCATGAAGACTATATACAAACCATATACAAAACTATATATAGTATAACTACAGTATAGGCAGGTATCCCCAAAATGTGTATACATATACATATACATATATGGTATTTACCGTATATATACAGTAATGTATAGTGTACAGTTGGAGCCTTAACCGTTACTCATTTTGATTTTGAGGTGTTGACCAGTTGACTTGTCGACGTCGGCAAGCTTTCGTCATTGTTTCTTCATCACAGTGAAGGTTGAGTAGCGCGATCCTCTCGTTGGGCTGTATCTTATAAGCCTGCTAGTAAGATTCAAGGGCATCCACAGGTGCCTAGTTACTGGTAACTTGTAAGTTCCTTTCCAAGTTCATTTGCGGTCATATTTCGTCCAATCCTGAAATCTTCGTAGGACCGTAAACACATCCAAAGCACCTATCAGTCGCATTCCATTATCTTTCTGATCTCATGGTCTAATCCTCTGCTCACAACCCAACAATAAAGGGAAGCCCTATACGATATCCGCCAATATGGATGGAAGCTCCTCCAAACCTGTGGTCTATATAGGCTCTCAAGACCTAGCCAAGGTAATACACCACTACACACATGCACTCCTAAAACCATTCATGCGTTGTCGAGATATGAAAGAATGACCGATTTATCGTGAGATTCACAGATATCTGCTCTTCTGCCGTCTAACAAGAAGCGGTCGATGATCGTGCACTCTCTGGTTAGCGCGCTGGGTCTTATGAAGAACAATGCGTCCGATCGCGAAAATAGACGTCTCCAAGTAGTTGCGCCCAGAAAAGCTTCCTATAAAGATCTCGCTGTGTACCACACTCGTGATTATCTTGACGCTGTACTCGACGTTAACAACGCAAACGAAGAACAAGAAACAGAGGTGGAAATCAATGCCGAATTCGGGCTCGAAGATGCATGTCCCTGCGAGTCTTCTATCTTACGTCTTTTGCTCATCAGAATTGACAGGATTGTCCGCGCTTTGCTGGCCTTGCAGAGTACATCCAACTCATTGGTGGCGCGACACTTACTGCCACAAAAGCGCTACAGCAAAATTTAGCTGATATTGCTCTGTGTTGGGATGGTGGGAGGTGATTTCGAAAAATTTCTACCGATGACACATCGTAATCTAACTTCTGAATGACGGCCAGACATCACGCACGGAAATCTCAGGCATCGGGATTCTGCTATGTTGCAGACTGTATTTTGGCAATTTTAGCTCTCAAGAAGACGCTCATCCAATCTTCGAATCCGACCTTCCTCAATGGCCCAACAACCGCTCAAAAACCTAGAATCATGTATCTCGACTTAGATTTGCACTTCTCAGATGCAGTTTCTGAGGCCTTTTACTCGCCAGTGTCTTTATCGACGCCACAAGTCTTGGTAAGAAAGAATGACGAATGATAAACGCGATATCTGACTATGACCTTCAGACTCTGAGCATACACCATGCGGCTCCTGGTTTCTTTCCTGCATCAGAGCGCGCCAAACTACCTGATCCCTCGTCCCCCAATTTCGATCCTTTCACATTATCCCTGCCCTTAAAGCAAGGGGCATCGGATAGAACTTACGCCCGTATATGGCCCGTCGTGGAAAAGATCCAGAATACCTTCAAACCAGATTTTGTGGTTCTCCAATGCGGCGTCGACGCTCTAGCTGGCGATCCCTGCGCCACGTTCAACTGGTCCTTAGGCGACAATGTAGGGTCCATGGGCTGGTGTATACAGAAAGTAGTGAATGAATGGCCTGGCAAGAAGCTTCTCTTAGGTGGAGGTCTGTATTTGACTTTGATCCCTTTCGCCCGTGTAACTCAGGTTACTCCTTGGTCGATCAGGGGGATATAATTCGCCCAATGCTGCAAGAGCATGGGCTTATTTTACTTCTATTGCGGTAAGCTTCATCTCAATCGACCCTACATTAAATGAGTATTAAACAATGCACTTTACTAGCTCAACAACCCTTTGAGCTTGGAGACTGAGATTCCGGATCACGGAGGTTTTCCACTATATGAGCCTTCTTTCACGGTAAGTAACGTCAAACGTGGCCTTGAAGTAATAACGTTTATTAAAAATCTTGCAGCTTGACGTACCTGCGGGAAACATGTCTGACCACAATTCCGAAGAATACCTCGCCGATCTGGAAACACTATTTAACGACATAACTGAAGAATTACAGCGAAGACTGGATGTATAGAACTAGACGTAGAAGGCAAGTCCGAGGCATATACACCCTGCTTCTCTCCGGGTTTATAAGCACTGGTGGGAAGTCATTGGTTAATTTCCTCCAAGTGACGCAGACCATGAAGAGCGAACTTACCTGAAAATAGTATGTATTCGACACTTTGCACGCGAAAGGGCTTGCACAAACAGTTGGTCCAGTATATCCAGTACTACAAAGGTATCAGAATAACAGAATTGGATGTCTATTATCTCAACAAACTCACCCTCCGCATTGTCCGTATTGGGTCTGAATAGGACCACTTACGGGCGTCGTAGTGGCTGGACTGCTTGCAGTAGTAGTCGCACCCGTCGTCAATGTCAGTATGATAACGCTAACGCTGACAGCTGGTGCACTGTAGTTGAACGTCTGGCCGGTGATGATGGTGCTGGTAACGGGCGCAAAGAGATTGGGGCTTGTAGGAGTGTTACTTGCTGTCGCCGTTCCAGTCAATAGCTGGAGGGTTCCGGAGGTGGCTACGCTGAATGGCAGTTGGAATGTGATAGTCGCAGCGGATGACGCCGTGTTTGAGACCTGGTGGAAAATAACAGTCGTTAGCGAGTACACAAGACATTGCATTAATGGGCGCTACCTTGATAATTATCTGGTTTGCAGGAGTGTTTCGGACTACGCTCCAGAAGAGTGTGCCGGTCTGGGAAGGTAGCGTGCTAGGGAGGTAGCTGTCACCACGGTTCACACTAAAGAGCTTCGAAGATATTAGGCATCTAATTGTCTCCTAACAGAAACCGTTTGAATACTTACTTTTTGGACGTAGAAACTTGTCGAGCGATATACTGAACCGGCGCTATATGTCGATGGTGTGAGTTGAAACAAGTTTTGGAATAATTTATAATCTGAAGCGTACTCGAAAGCCAGCAAATTTGGGGTCTAAGCATTGAGCTTGGAAATTAGTTTCTACAGTTTACGCAATAAATGACAGCATACCCATTGATTGGCTGTAATATGCTGAAATAGGTGGGAACACTCGTCAATAATACAGAATGCAACAGATTCTGAGTGGACTCACTCCGAGAAGAGGAGCGTACGAGGCCGCAAAACTAGTAAAGAGCAAATTAAGATGGACGGACGCGTAAGGAGTAAAGGAAGATAGCTACACAATATCACTATTTCTCTCCAATCCTGTCATAAATGCAGCTTCCCCTGCTGCACCTATAATTCCCGTTAAGGATATAAAATATCGAAAGCATTTTGAAAAGACCCACTCTGCATAGTGGGATAGGTCAAACGGCCATCAGCAACGGTTCCATATAGGTCATTGGCGTTGGTAGAGATTGCAGCATATTCTCCCTACAAAGTCATTAATATGAAAGAAAATAAAGTACAGTAGCTTTAATTAGCGAACCTCAAAGTATTTTGTACCATCGCGCTATCAAAAGAAAATAAATATCCGAATAACAACAAGTTATACGTGGAGTCTGACCTGGACGGTATCATAGTAGAAGGAATTCTGAGCAAACCACGCTGGAGAGGGAACGGTGTCAGAGGTTGATGTTCACACATGAGGAATATAACTTACTAGGAGTTTGGTATACATGTACATCGTACTCTGTTGGCTTGGGAGAAAGGACAGGGTTATTCACATAGGATGTGGCCATGAATTCTTAATTTGAATGATA